ATATATATATACATATATATATATATATATATATATTTTTTTTTTTTGTCATCCAGGTTTTCATGCTTGCTGTGTAAATGATTCTGGGCATCTGATGAATGGCAGACAAGCCACAACCTCAAGGTGTCTTTCCAGAAACTGCCATGTCTCTTTTCATATCTATTTAGAATACATTTTTGCACTTAATATTAGGTACTATGCAGATATATCAAGGGAGTAATGACTGCTTTTTCTATTTCCTTAAGTTGTAGATAACTTGAGAAGTGGCAAGAGACAGCATGGCCTTTTTCTGAATGTGTCTTTTTAAAAAAGTTTAGTTAACCACACGTGGTAGATTTTATTATTGTTCCCAACTACCTGTTCCTTTCCCAAGAGGCATATATATATCCACTCCTTTTGCCATCTGACTGCCACTGCAATCTACTATATAGAATACATCTCCAGTGCCTTGGTAAGCTTGGACATGTGACTTTCTTAGGGGATGTATGTAGACATAATATAAACCATGTTTTAGCAGGTAGAGTTCTTAATCATCCTAGCCTGGGTCCCAGCATAAAAAGATACTTAGAGCAGGGCTGAGCAGAGTTAACAGCAACTCTTAGACCTGTGAGTGAAAAATGTATTTGCTGTTGAAAACCACAGTATTGAGATTTTAGGGTTGTTTGTTTTCATAACCAAACTGTTAACACACTGTATAAACTGTGAAATGATCATTTCCTGTGATGGGCCATGTAGACAACTGTCATGGCTGCCAACCATAGAATGAGTTATCTCTTTGCATGCTCTGTAAAGAAAGGACTGCTGTCATCATCCATTATTTCACGCATTTGAAGGTAATAAGCAAGAGAACTTTCAGCTGTGAAGAATATCTATAAATGTATATGTTTTCTATTTCTTTGTAAAAGATGATCAATAGACTAGGTATGGGTGAACACCTTAAGTTCAAAAACAGAAATTTGTGTGGTACCTGTTAGCCTATTGTAAGAGTCTACTTTTAGAATGTTCTCAGTAAAGTGACTATTTGGAAGAACCATGGGAACATCATTTATTTGCTCAACCATTTGCTTGTTCATTATTATTACTTCCATGAGAACTAGGAAGATATTAACAGAAAAAGGTGGAGTCTTGGCTTTTAGAATAAGAAATAAATTATCAGGAGAGATAGAAAGATCTGCTAATTCATCCTAACATCCAGGGCACTCTCAGTTTTGCAGACTGATTCCAAAGCCAAATATTTTGCATTTCCCATAGATTGAGATAAACCTTAGAATGGAGAGTGTATTTTATTCCCTTGTGAAATATTTTGTAAGTATGTAATTTTCTTCATTCCTGGTTGTGGTCATCATCTATGTCTTTTTCTCCATAGATAAATCTAGTAAAAGTGGTAAAACAAAGAATATCTGTATACCTGTTTTAGTTAGTTAGTAGTGAGGACAAAGTTTAGAAATCTATATCCTATTTCCCAGAAGGATCTGCAAGTGGGGTGGTGATGGTAACAAGAACATCCCAGGTTAGAAGTAGGCATAGTGGCTTCTTAAGAGGATGAAGTCAAAGGGCAAATATCAGGGATATATGAGGAAAGAGTGGGGATTTTCTGGGAATTGTTTCAAACTGAGAAGAGGGGATTAAGTTTTAGAGAACTTAGCCTATTTGGCCAAGTTTGAGCATGGTCCCCAAGTTTTTCCTTTTTTCCCTTAAAAATTTGTTGAAGGATAACTATAATATAATATAATAAAAGGCACCCATGTTAAGTGTATAATATAATGAGTTTTGGAAAAATGTATAACTCATATATACCACCAAATTAAGACACGGAATACTTTCACCACCCCCCCAAAAGTACCTGTATGATACTTCCAGTCGATTCCACCATCCCTGGGCCCAGGCAATAAATTATTTGCTTTTCACAGTAAAATAGTTTAGCCTCTTCTAAAATTTCATATAAATGAATGTTTAATGGAATCTTTCATGTTTTTCTTTTGCTCAGCATCTTTTGAGATTCATCTGTGATATTACTGCATCAATAGTTTATCTTTTTTGCTGCGGTATTATGTTCCATTGTATGTGTACACCACAGTCTATTTTAACCATTTACCTGTTGTTAGAAATTTTGTTGGTTTCCAGGTTTTGGGAATTGTGAGAATAAAGCTACTTATGGACATTTGGGTAAAATCTTTGTAAACATATGTTTTCACTTTTGTTAAGCAAGTAGGTAGGAGTGGAATCTCCAGATCATAAGGTAGATATGTATTTTAAATTTTTGAAAAAACCGCTGGCTGGGTGCAGTGGCTCACGCCTGTAATCCCAGCACCTTGGGAGGCCCAGATGGGTGGATCACAAGGTCAGGAGTTCAAGACCAACCTGACCAACGTGATGAAACCCCGTCTCTACTAAAAACACAAAAAATTACCTGGGCATGGTGGTGTGTGCCTGTAATTCCAGCTACTCGGGAGGCTGAGGGGGGAATTGCTTGAATGGGAACCTGGGATGCGGAGGTTGCAGTGAGTGGAGATCACGCCACTGCATTCCAGCCTGGGCTACAGAGCAAGACTCTGTCTCAAAAAAAAAAAAGGAAAGAAAAGAAAAAAAACTGTCAAACTCTTTTCCAAAGTGGTTGTACTATGTTGAATTCCTAAGAGCAATGTATGAGAATTCCAGTTGCTCTGTTCCCTCTTCATCACTTGGCATTGGTTTTTAAATGCAGCCATTCTTGTGAGTCTGTGTAGTTTGACTTAACAGTTGAGCATCTTTTCATGTGCTTTTTGGTCATTTGTATATCATCTTTTATAAAGTGTCTGTTTAAACCTTTTGGGCATTTTAGTTTAAAGTGTATGTGTGTGCATGTTCTTAAGTTTAAGAGCATTTTATATTTTCTATATATAGATCCTTTGCCAGATTATGTACTACTCAATCTGTGGCTTGTTCCTTCATTTCTTAACATTTTATAGGGAAGAATAGAAGTTTTTAATTTTAATAAAGTTCAATATATTCACATATACTATTTGTTTATAGTTCATTTTTTGGTGTCCAGTCTAGAAATGTTTGCCTTCTTTGAGCTTGCAAAGATTTCTTTCTTTTTTTTCTAGAAATTTCAGTTAGCCTGATGAGCCACATTGAATTTTATTTGTGTGTGGTGTCAAGTGAAGGTTGAGTTTCAGCTGTTTCCATAACTCAGCTATTCCAGCATTATTTGTTGAGAAGTCTTTCTCCCATTTAATTACCTTGTCATTTTTATTGAAAATTTATTAACCATGTCTGTATGATTCTATATTTGAGTTTGCTATTCTGTTTTATTGATCCATATATACATATATTTTACTTTAGTACACGCTTTTCTGATTTCTGTAAATTTAGTCATCTTTCATGGTTTTTTTCTCCCAAAATTGTTTGACTATTTAATTTCTTTTTGCTTCTATAAAAACTTTTAGATTAGCGTGTCCATATCTATAGATTAGCCTTCTGGGATTTTTAACCAGGATTTGTTGAGTACTGTATTAGTTCATTCTCTATTACTATAAAGAACTTCCTAAGACTGGGTAATTTATAAAGAGGTTTAATTGACTCACATTTCTGCAGGGCTGGGGAGGCCCCAAGAAACTTACAATCTTGGTGGAAGGGAAAGCAAACATGTCCTTCTTAACAAGGTGGCAGGAATGAGAAGTGCAGAACAAAACTGGGAAAAGCCCTTTATAAAACCATCAGATCTCATTGTGCCATTGCACTCCAGCCTGGGCGTTAGAGCAAGACTCGTCTCAACAGAAACCAAAGATCAAAAGACCCATTAGATCTCATGAGAACTCACTCACTATCGAGAAAACAACATGAGGGTAACCACTCCCATGATTCCATTACCTCCTAACAGGTCCCTCCCACAACACATAGGGATTATGAAAACTATAGTTCAAGATGAGATTTGGGTAGAGACATAGCCAAAGCATATGAACTATGTAGATCACTTAGAAAGAACTGACAATTTAACAATCTTAAGTCTTCTATTCAATTAACCTGGTTTATATCTCCCTTTATTTAGGGCTTCTTTTTAAAATTTCTCTGGCCAAGGTTTTGAGTTTTTAGCATATGGTATATGAGGCATTGCTGACAACCTTAAGGGAGTAGTTTTCTTATGGTTCTGGGAGTTTGGGGTGGATATTTTTCTCTTAAGTATTTCATGCTTTTGGATACTGTATGGTTTAAATTTTTTATTTAAAAATTTTCAATTGCTCATCACTAGTATACAGAAATAACAGTGACATAGATATTTACCTTGTATCCTTGTATCCTAAAGCCTTATAAAATTCATTTATTAGCTTTTTAGGTGATTCTTCAGGACTTTCTGCATGGAAGATTATGTTACTTGTAAATAGGCAGCTATATGTCTTATGTTATTGTATTGGCCAGAGTTGTGGTTAAGATAATAACGTAAGACGTACAGCTGCAATACAACACTGAATCAAAATGGTGAGAGGAGATGTTCTTGCTTTGTTCTAGTCTCAGGGGGAAAATATTCCATTCCCCCCCTCCCCCACCAAATATGATGCTTTCTGTAGGTTTTTCAAAGATTCCCTTCACTGGGTTGCATAAATTCTTTGATATTTCTTCTTTACTGAGATTTTTAAAAAATTTATGTATGGTACTGAATTTTATCACATGCTTTTCTTTCTGCATCTATCCAGATAATCAGGTGCTTTCTCTATCTCTTTTATTAACATTATATTATTGATGTTTGAAGGTTTAACCAACCTTATATTCTTGCATAAATGATACTAGATTTGATTTGCTTTTAAGATTTTAGGAGACTAGAATTTTTTTGTGTGGAAAGATTTTAAATTTTAAACTATTTGTATGATTCATATAAGTATATTGAATTTTATTATTTATTTTTGTGTCAGTTTTGATAATTTGTATCTATTTTTTTTTTTTTTGAGACGGAGTTTTGCTCTTGTTGCCCAGCTGGAGTGCAATGGCGCAATCTTGGCTCACTGCAACGTCCGTCTCTTGGGTTCAAGCAATTCTCCTGCCTCAGCCACCCAAGTAGCTAGGATTACAGGCACACGCCACCATGCCTGACGTGATAATTTGTATCTTTTAAATAATTTTATTACTTCATCTATGTTGTCAAATTTATTGACATAACATTGTTTATAATATTTCCATGTTAATATTCCTTTATAATTTCCTTGTAATGTTAATAGGTTCTTCTCTAACATTCCTCTTCCAATTTATAAAATATTGTAATTTATATCCTCCTTCTATTTTTCTTGATTGGCCTCGCTAGAAGTTTAACTGATCATTATAATTGGTATTTTCAAAGATCTAGTTTTTTGCTTTCATTGATTTTCTCCATTGTTGGTCATTTTCTGTGTTACTGATTGTCACTCTTGGCTTTATTTGTCTTTCTTTCTAACATTTTGAGTTTCATTTTCTCTTCTTTACTAACAGCTTATGACAGAAGCTCTGAGCATAAATATTAGACCTTTCTTTTTTATTTAAAAGCATTTAAAATTATAAATTTATAACGTATAGATTGAACTGCTTTAGCTGCAACTGAAGTTTTGATAAGTTATGCTTTCATTTTTTTAGTTCAAAATATTTTCTAAATTTCCGTGGGACCTCTTCTTTGATCTGTGGCACCTCTTCTTTGATCTGTGGCTTATTTAGAAGTATTTGATTTAATTTTCTTATACTGAGGGACTTTCCAGATATCTTTTTGTTAATAGTAGGTTCTGCTTTGATATTTCTTTTTTAATTTATAAAATACTGTAATTTATGTCCTCTTTATATTTTTCTCTATTGGCCTAGCTAGAAGTTTAATTGATCCATATATTTGATCTTTTCAAAGATCTAGCTTTTTGCTTTCATTCATTTTCTCCATTGTTGGTCATTTATGATGAATCCAATTTGTTTTAGTCAAAAACCATATTTGTATTAATATTTCAGAATTTCTTGAACAATAATATAAATATACTTAATGCTACTGAATTGTGCACTTAAAAGTGGTTAAGATGGTAAATTTTACGTGTTTGTTTTGCCACAGCAAAAATGTTTGCTATTATTACTTAATTATAATAAAATTTGAAACTGCCTATTAAATTGTTGAGACATCCTTTATGTTTCAGGTCCACCAGATCTATGGCAACTTTTTCACTGTTAATGTATATTCTGTTGTTTTTGACTAGAGTGTTTGATAACTATTGATTAGATCCAGCTAATTGAGACTGTTGTTCAAACCTTCTGTATCCTTACCGATCTTCTGTTTAATTATTCTGTAAATTAGAGAGAAATATTGAAGTCTCTATAATTGTAGACTTTTCGGTTTCTCCTTTCAATTCCATTAATTTTTACTTTACTTTGTTGAAGCTTTGTTCTGAAGTGCATATCCATTTAGATTTACTTTGTCTTATTCATGATTGATACCTTCATCATCAGGAAATGTCCATCTTTTCCCAAATAATAATAGTCCTTGTTCTGAAGTCTACTTTGCTGATAATAATATAGCTACTCCAACTCCCTAATACTTAGTAATTGTGTAATATATATTTTTCCTTTCTTTTATTTGAATCTATCTATATCTGCATATTAATATTTGAAGGGTGCTTCTTGCTGTGTCTTCTTTAAAAAAAAAAAATCCAATCCAGCCACTTATCTTGAATGTAACCATCAATCTGATTGGGTTAAATCCATGATCTTGCTATTCTTTCTAATTTTTTTCAGGTTTTGTTTGCTTCTTTCTTCTTGGTATCTTTTTGGTTGAGAATTTTTGAATATAATTTTATGGCCACTCAACCTGTTATCTACACCAGTTTATTATTTTAGTGATTGCTCTGTCTGTGATTTATCACAGTCTGCAAATATTACTATTGTTTCTCTGCCATATGACAGTGTACTTCCATTCCTCCTTCCTGTTCTATCTGCTACTTTTATACATTTACAACCTGTATTTATTACAAATCCTAGCATATTGTTTTTATTTAAAATTTACCTTTTTTGGAGAGTGTCTCATATTATATTGATGGTACATGATAAGGTAGAACTCTCTAAGCTGCTCCTATTTTTCAGGGAGTCTAGGATAGAAACTGTGTTGGGAGTGGGAGTTTTTTAGTGTGTTGGGCTATTGGTGGGTCAAGGATTCCCCAGCAGCTGAAAATTTCTTTATTCTTCTCTTGCTATTTCTGGGACTAATGGCCAAGGGGCTCTTCTCCTTGATGTACACCACTCTTGCTGTAATCAAATTTATTATTAGGCCAGGAAATGAGCTGGACAAAGT